ACCAAATTAATATTAAAGCTGGTTCTTCAGGTGTCAAGGAACCTCATTATATGGAAAAATAGATTCCATAGCTGACTTGACTTTTGTCAAAAATCTGAGATATGCCCTAGCCCTGGCATGTCCAGCCACCTCCTCCCTCATGTGCTCCCACCACCCAACTCTGTGTCCGAGAGGCTGTGGCCCCCCTCTCGGCTCCTGAGCCAAGTATGAGGACCTCCCTCATAGACTTCCATGCTCCAAAAGCAGAGATCAGTAGGCTGGCTGATGTGTGTTAGAGATGTATCCTCATGAAAACCCCCATCGCTCCTGGGATCCCCACTAAGTCCAAAGATCTGAGGCAAATACAGGAGCCTCCCCAAGATCATAAAGAGCCCCAGCCAGGCTCTGACTGCTCTGCAGACCAGTGCTGGGGATAAACTGGGCCCAGTCCTGGCTGGAAGGAGGCAGTAAGGAAGCCTCACGAATGGGATTGACGTGGGTGCCAAGGTGGAAAACAACTTAGAGTTCAGCCTGGACCAGAAGCCATATTCTAGCTGGCAGGTTCCACATTCCAGCTCCTCAGCTACTTGAGGCCGCATGACATGGCCGTCAGGACCCAGAGCACAGAGAACCTCTCCAGGGACCTAAACCCTCTCAGTAAGAGGCCTCTGCATGTGGGGGCTGGTGAGAGTCCCCAGGGCCCTCTTCATTGAATAAGCAAGACTGGGAGCCCAGAGAGATCTCAGAATTTGTGGGAGATAAATATTTGTTTATCAGATTATTTAAAATGAAGTGTGTGTGTGGTCTGGGATGTATTCTCAGTAGTTATGAAAATGTTCAAGTCTGAGCATGCAAGCAATTGCCATCCCAGAAAACACTAAAAATATTTTTCAGCTGTAGGATCTCCTTACTTCTGCTGAAATTCTTCAGTTTTTCACCCATTTTGTCCATCTTTTCCTCTCTTTGCTGTATTTATAATAATCTTTTAAAGGCCTTACCTTCCAAATCAAACATCAGGGTCATCTATTCTGTTCTTTTCTCTTGACTATGGGCCACAGTTCCTGCTTCTCTGCATGTCATATATACTGCTTTTTAAATTTAAGTTGTATGTTGTGTATTAATAAGCAGAATTTAGACTGGAGACTAAAAGGTATATGTGTATATCCACCTCTGAGAAAGGAGAGCCCTTTTCCTGTCAGGCACTATACTGAGGGGCTCACCCCTTCAGGCTGAATCATGGCCTCTCTGGCTTCAGATGTCTTGAAGGAGAGGTCTGTCCTCTACCTCCAGCAGGATTGGGATTCAAACAGCACAAAACCTGATCTCTACTTTCCAACCCTGTCCTAATTCCAGTTGGAGGTGATTTTATATCGGCTCCTTTCTTCCTCCCACTTTCCCGTTTTGGACCAGAATGGACTCACAGATATGTAAACATCCAGCTCTCAGGCCTGGAGTCAATGGATGCTTCCCCAAAGTTGAGCACAGGTCAGAACAGGTGAGGGGAAGTGTAAGCTGCATGCACACATGTCCCATAAAGCCTGTAGTGATTTCCCTGAAAATCCTTTAAGTGCCTCAGGAATTACCCCATAAATCCAGTGAAGGAGATCTCTTAGGACCCCAAAGACCTTCCTGTTTATTCTCATGCTCAGCCATAAATCCCAAGCCAATGTTTTCTCAGTGGGTTCATCTCAGAGTGAAACTTCATTAGGAAAGGGGAAAAATCTATCACTGTTCTGCTTCAGACATTTGGATCAAGGTAGCCTTGAAAAATGAATTTTAGGGTTTGAAAGACTGAGCAACCAGGACTTTGGAAACTGGTATTTGGCTGCACAATGTGTTATAGCCCCTGCTGTTCAGAATTCTAGATGGTTGATCTTAGGTTTACTTAGAGCAGTATTGCCTCTTGACCAGAGGGACTGGTAGGCCATCTTCCTAGAACCATCTTCGCCAATTCCTGTAGCCAGACCACCCAATTACTAAGCAGGAAAGGTCTTGCCCAGCAGGAATGTCCCATGTTAGACCTGGCACCTTACTGCCTAGTGTCTCCCCTGTCAATGGGCAGTCTCCTGTGGCACTATTAAGCCTGAGGAAGGACTGCTGGTGCCACTGTGTCCAGCCCCTACTGCCCCAACCATTCTCAGCTACACTTGTCAATTCACCATGTCTGGACCAGAATACAGATCAAGGGCAGAGCAGGGCCAGGGAAGTTTGTAATTTTGAGGCTCAGGGACTGTTCCAGCTTTGTGAGAGAATGCAGGTAATAATGGCTATCATCTCTCAAACTGTGCTGTCCGTGCCTGGTCCCATTTTAACCTTGGTATCACCTCACTTAGTGCTCCAAGCCACCCTACGAAGCAGTACTGTTGTCAACCCCATCTTACAGACAAGGCTTCCCTGTTTTAAAAAAGCAGAACAAGCCTCACCCCTCTCAAGCATACTAGGTTTAATCATTTAAAAGGAACACGGAAGAAAACCTCTGTATGTATATACATACATATACACACATATGTATGCATGTGTATTTACACATTAATACATATATACATGTAATATATAAAATACTGAGCTTTTTAACTTGAAGGTTTACAACTTTCACTGGAAAAAAAAGCCTTTCATATTCTCATTGCAGGTTTGCAGGCATTTCTTCAGGATCATTACCTTTTCTTACACTTAAGGAATAGCAAGAAATCTACTTGAAATATTTTTCTTTAATCTGAAAGTAGAGAAAAGGGGATGCAGATAATACATTTCTACTGTATTATCAGAGGCTCTAAGATAAATGGTTTCTTTGGATCTGTGTTTATAAGGAGGGTCCTAGTTTTCATAGATATACACACATTTAATAGTTGAGGCTTAACATTTTTGAGCTTACATATGGAACTTGTCTTGAGTATTCAACCTAGCAACCTGAATGTCTTAGCAACAATCAACGAAGCCTGTACAAATACAGGAAAATGTTAACTGTAGAATCTAAGAACAATCGGTGTTTGCTATAGAATTTTCTCCATTTTTCTGTATATTTGAAGATTTTTTACAGTAAGTTGTTCAGGGGTAGAAGGGAATCAGTCACCTGTAATGATGCTGTCAAACCTTGACTTCCAACTGAAACTTTCTCACTAGTGGGAAAATACATGTGTATCCATGTTTGAAAGTTTATCATTTATATTATAAAAAAAGAAAAAAAGTATTTTTAAGAAAGTTTTATTTTCAATGAATAGAATTTAAAAAATAGACCCCCCAAAAAAACTAAGCTCATTTACACAGCTATACAAATTTTTAATATATTTGTGTATGTCTTTTCAATCCTTTTTGTGTTATGTATATTTTGTAACTTTTTAAAAATTGTATGTAATTTGCTTAATGGCTACATGGTATTCCATTATAGAAGTTCTATAAATGTATCATACTATACAGAGTAATTATTCCACAAAATCACCTGGGAACATTTTTTTTTTAATGCAGAGTCTTGGGACCAACCTGCTAAATAAGAATCTCCAGGGATCCCAAGGAACCCGAGTTTTGAGACTTAACCTGTGATTGTAATGCATTTAACTAAACTAATTAATTAGCACATATTTCACTTACTTAATCCACTATTGTCAAATATGGAGTTGTTTCCAAATATTTGCTCTTATAAACAAAAATCACAAGAATGCCAATACCTATAACAGATACTTCTCTGCATACATAGACAATTATTTCCTGAGGATATTAAAGTGGTTCATTCACTGTTTAAAAAAGATTTAGTGACCAAGTAACCATGGACTTAACTGCAGCTCTGGGAGTGCCCACCCCACCACAATCATGGAATTCTAGGGAAGACTAACCGTGCTCCAGGGCTGCCTTGGCTACTCAAGAAGGGATCAACTGGGAATTAAAGAGTCCTAACAATCCTAGAGAAGAAGCTCTGAGGTATGCCTTCTCACTTACCTCCTTAACCATAAAGGTCCAGCTCGAAAGGACCCCCTTGAGTCTATAGCACTGAAATTGGCCCTTACGGTCTTGTAATTGTCTGCTGCTATTTTAAAATTCACATTTAGTAGTTTAGGCAGTATGGATTCCCAAGAGCAGTTTCTCAAACTTAGTTCCATAGACTCTCCTATTCTCAGTCATCTGCAAACACATTTTGGTTTAAATATGTTTGCCTTCTGATGGTAATATACATATAAATTAAATAGGTCAGATCACCAGGACATGCAACATTACAGCCCTCAGTTTCAGGGCCTGCAGTCTTATGTTTAAGTTCAAAATGGCACAAGGTCACCACCCAGAGAAATGCAACCCAACGTTTCTCAAACTAGGATCTGTGGATCCCCGAGAAATTTTTTCCTTTAAAAGTTTATACTGTATTGCAAATTGATAAACACTGACTTAAGAGTACAGGGACAATATTGATGTTCGCTCTCCAACAGCACCCAGCCCAGCACTCAGCGTTAAGGCTGCACCGTTCTGCCGGGCACTGGATCACTTCTGAGCAGTCTGCACCAGGCCTTCCAGCGACATTTCTTGGGCCATTCCCGAAAGCAATGAGAATCAATTCCTTGACTTTTATCTTATGGAACAAAAATTAATACTCCGGGTCTCAAGAAAACTTTGAGAGACCATAAGTCCAACTCCACTCAGGGCAGATGGGAAAAGTGAGGCCCAGAGATGGGAGGTGCCTCAAGCCAGACCACAAAGCTAGTTAGCAGCAGAGACAAACGTGGAACCTGAGCCTCCTATCCCAAATTCAAAGCCTTGGCTAATCTGTAGAAAACACCGATCAGGGGCCCCACAGACCTCACTCCCACCATCACCAACAACCCCGTCCCACTTCTGCCCTCCCCATGTCCTCAACATTCCCCGTGTCCTCTTCAGGTTGGCTTGCCTCACTCCATTCCAAGCCTTCACAAGCATTCCACACGCCCAGACCACAGAAGCAGGCTGCTTCAGGCCCTCCCTCGCACACAAAACACGCAAGCTGAAAACGCCCCACTAAGCACTGACACCCTCAGGTCCAGTAGTGCCTATCCTAGCGGCAGAGCCGGCCGCGTGGTGCAGGCGCCACACTAGGTCGGCGCGCGTCGGTGACGTCACGGCTGGCGCCGCTTACGAGCTCCCAGCGCCTGTGACCCCAGCTGAGTCGAGGGTGACTTGGCCGCAAGTTCCGCCACAAGCTTACCGCCGCGAACTTTGACGGGAGAACCTGTGGTGGTTGAGGCCTGCTGAAGTGGAGAGAAGTAAAGAGTGAGCGACGCCTGAAGGAGACGTCATCAGAGCGCATCGGAAGCGGCGCGAGAATGAAGAGTAAGCGGGGTTGAGGGCCCCGAAACTGGAGAGCGGGGTGCTGTAAAGCGTCGGGGACCTGGTGCTGTGGGTGAAAAGGGTCGCTACGGAGTCCAAACAGAACTGCCATGGGAATTGTCCCACCTTACAAAAGTAGAGCCGAGGCCCAGAGCCCTGGTTGGCCTGCTTCAGCCTCTGAACTAGGGATGAATGAAGTCAGAGCTAGAGGCAGGCATTCTCGGGGGGACTACTCAGTGTTGTGTGGTGCTAGAGGAGGGCCCAAGGCCTTGGCCCGACTTGGCCACTACCTACCTGCGTGACAGTGGCCAAGGCCCTGCTCCTCTCTGTGACCTGGTTTCCGCTTCTGAAAGGTAATGATAATGGTGCCTGCCCAGCCTGCTCTTCTGTGAACAACCCTTGTCTGGTGTAAAGCGCTGGGAACGGGAATGATGCCGCCAACGCAAGGCTTTGGGAGTTGAGCAGAGGAGAGCTGTGCCAAGGAGGGGAGCAAGCCCAGGGCAGTTATAGGCAGGGGAGTGAAGCCACCGTTAAAACTGGACTTGGGATCAGGATTTTGAGTACCACCTCACCACTCCCTGCCTATGTGATCAAGTTAACCGTCTCAGCATATCTAAGCTTCAATATTCTCATGTGCTTAGTAGGAATAATAACTAACGGACTGCTCAGAAATTATAATGAGATAAAATATGTGTGACTTTGAATCAAGTGCATGGCAAGTAATAAGAGCTCAATGACCATTAGATGTATATTGTTACAGTAAAGACTTCAAGTCTAATGCTAGGCACTTGTGACAAGTAAAGCAAAGTCATTTCTGAGGTTCCAGGCCATGCAGTTACTCTCTGCAAACAGGTTTTAATCCCTCTCTCATTTGAGGGAGAATCACACTGTTTATAAAAATTGTACCCACTTTGGTTTGCTTGTTTAGAGGTATTCAAGGAAGCACAAGGGAGCTGGAATGGAATTTATTGAGTGTAGTATAAGCCATGTTTTGTAGTCTTTTGGCCCTTTATCCAGGCCTTGTCTCATTCTCACTCCACTCACATTCATACTCCACTGCAATGCTCTGGCTTTGTTATTCAGACAATTAAGTAAGAAACAGGAGTATGGAAGTTTTTAGAGGTTGAAAACTCCTGTGACACTATCTATTGTATGCTATATCCCAATGTCATAGATATTAAAATTTGAAAAATCTTTTTTAAACATCTACAGTCACAAAATATAGTATTTCCAACCGGCTGTATCCTGAAAAGCTCTATAACATAGCCTTTTAAATGAATACCTTCATTGTATTTGTAGAGTAACTGCTCAAGCTCCTTACGTCAGTTCAACCCCAAGTGTGGTCTGCTGACTGCAATAGCATATAAGACCTTGTTAAAAATGTGGGATCTGGGAGTGGTGCCCAAGCATCCACATTTTAATAAGATCCAGAGAATCTTACACACATAAACATTTTAGAAGCACTGTTTCAAAGTACACCCTTGGAACTGCTAGGAAGGATGTGGCAGAAGGGTAAAATAAGCATCCAAGAAAGCTTTGAAATTGTGCTCTTTGTACCACCCTCATCTTCTCCTATCTCTGAATAAGCATAGTTATTTTCACGGTAGAAAAGTCTTGGATCTCATAGCCATACCCAACAAGAACTGATCATTTCATGTTTGTTTTCTTTTGTTTAATCCCCCAGGTGTGGTCTACCATGCTCTTTCTCAGAAAGAGGCGAAAGAGTTTGATATTCAGGTACAGTGCTTGGCCACAAGTCTGGAGGCAACAGAGGCGATGACAAAGATGGCTCTGTGGCTTCTAAGGCTTACTGCTATTCTGGATGTGCTTTCCCATGGCTTACTCCTCAACTCTCCCGTAGACATGTTAGGCTCAGTCAAGGTTTCTTATTGCGATGGCCTGTTTCCATATGCTGGCCTCCTTTTCCGTTGTGCCAAAGTCAAGTTTGGTTAACTGGGGCTTCTTGTTCTTGTGTCATCCCCCATGGTGTACAGGACCTGCCCTGGTGAGCACAATCATTTGACCTTGTCACTGTACCCCCTTCACTCCTGAAGAGGGCAGGCAAGTCACATTTCATAAGTAGAATTAATGGATTATATGGGTGCTGCAAACATGCTCTGACAGTATGGCGTATGCTCCACTGGTGACTCATAATGAGGGAGATACCTTGAAATCAAGATTTTGAAAGACTGATATACCTTTATTTGTCTTCTTCTTGAAAAAGGGACCACTTTAGTATTTAAAATACTCAAATAAGTATCCTCTTACAGTAATAATAATGATGATAATATGTTTTTAGTTAGCATATAAAGGTACAAAGCTGAAGTTGACTGCCATCCTTACTATGTGCTACCTTGAAGGTTATATGTATCATAGCATCATTCCCCACCTCTCCATCCCCACTTCCCCACCATGAAGGGAAAATTTGACTACTTTTGACACATTAGCCTTGGGTGTTTGCAGCCTGGTTAGTGCAGCAAGTGTCCAGGAAATGGCCCAGCCAAGAGGCAGGATCTTAGTGGACAGTGTTGCCGGGTCTGGCAGATAAGGGCAGAGGCACCTGAATGAGGAATAGGCTGGTAGAACTCCAATTTGAGAGGCAGTGATGCTTGGAGTTCTTTCAAGAATTACAAACAATCATGACAGTTATTTTACACAAAAGTCCTCTCTAAGAGCCTGTGCTCAGTTATATCACATGACGCTTTGCTCATTGTGGGAGAGAGTGAGCATGGGGGGCTGAGCTGGACTGACCATTCCTTTCACCAAGTGATGTGGGAGCAGTCTTAGAGGGTAGCCACAAGACTGCAAACCCAGGTAGAGATTTGACATATGAGCCAAAATTCCTACCTCCTGAGGTTTGGCCCACCCAGGAACAGCTAGTTATGCCATTTTCCCTAGTGTTAGGATCATTTCCTTAAAGGCCATAACTTGACTCTGAGCTTGCTTTCATCTGGTCATGATTATTATATATTATTGTCATAAATTTCTCAAGCTTTCCTCCCTGTCAAGGATCATAGAAGTCTTTTCCAAATATAATTTTTTTTTAATCTTCATTAGAGATAAACCTCACCTCAAAGAAGCAGGGTAGGAAGTCAGAGTTTGACATGGTTGTTTTATGTGGCAGTCACAAATTGGTACTTAAATGTGACTTTTGTATCTGGAAAGCTCTTGGTAGTGAACACTTGGCACAGGAGAGGCTGCGTGAATGACAGTGGGTGTAGGTGGGTCACCAGAGGCAGCCCACCTACTGTTAGAGTGGCGTGTCAGAGGGCCACGGGTCCCCGGCTGCCGTGAACAGGGTAGTGGGCACTTTGCCACCTTACTTCCACACAGCACCCAGGAGCCCAGCGGGCTGAAGCCTTTGTGACAGCATTCCTGAAACGCAGCCTGCCTCACATGAGCCAGCAAGCACGTGAGGACCAGCTGCAACGCAAGGCTGTTATTCTGGAGTACTTCACTCGCCGGAAGCGAAAAGAAAAGAAAAAGAAATCCAAAGGCCTCTCTGCCAGGCAGAGAAGGGAACTGCGACTCTTTGACATTAAACCAGAGCAGCAGAGGTATGCCAAGCCCTTCTTGCCTTCCTACCCCGGGCAGCTTGATCTTCCTGGTCTGGGTGTGGGCTTGGGAAGACGAGTGGTGCGCTGAGAAGCCCCTGCTCCCCTCTGGCCAAGAAAGCCTCTCCCGGTTTTCCACAAGGGGGCAGCCTTCCTTTACCAATTCAGCCTGGGTTTGGCTTTGGCTTTTAGCAGTAGTGAGTGAGACTGAACTGTTTGGCTTCTGTCCTTGCCATAACTGAGACCTGTGCCGTAAGTGAATCGGTTGCCCTTAGCAACAGGCTGTTTGTCTTTCAGCTTTCTTCAAGAGAAAAATGGGAACTGAAATTTCTTAATATACATCTCTTTGTAACTTTTAATAGCACTAGATGGAATCACCCACTGGGGTTTTATTGCCAAAGAACCTGCTGCCTACATGTTTTGGAAATTTCTGAAAGGGACTCATCATCTGTGTGGGATGACATACTCCTCCCTGCAGCCAGCACTCCATCCCTTCTTGCTCATGGTCTGCATTGGCATGTCTTAGGACTGTTCCTAGACTTACGCCTCAGGTTCTTCAGCCAGATAGCCTCCCACATCCCACAAAGACAAATCAAGTCTGTCACTTTGTCCATGACCCCCTCACAGAATCAGCTGGACTTCGGGTGGAAGAAGGGCCACTGCCGCCCCAGGTTTGCCTTACTGGTGCCCCCTCCTTATAGACCCCACTTTGGATGTGACCTTTGGATGTGATCTTTCTAGCCAAAAGTTTCCTGTAAATGAATTCTCCACAATGCACCAGGACCAGTGCTAATGCCCCAGAGGAAAGCTTTTGGGTCCCCTCACCTGCTCCCTCTCATTGCCCCACCATTTGCTCATTCACCTTCCAGACAGACCTGTTACCTTAAACAGGGACTTGCATGATAACCAGCAACTCCTGTTCACTGATGGCCTACCAGGTGTAGCTTCCTATAACAGAAAACCTCAATAAACAGTGGCTAGAACAAGACAGAAGTTTATTTCTCTCTCATGAAAACAAGTTCAGGTGAACACCATCCTTGGCTGCTGTGGTGAGCAGTTCCACAGCCCCCAGAGACCCAGGCAGCGCATCCTTCAGTGCCTCCTTGCTGCCCCGCCATCTTCAGGTAGTGTCTCATGGCCTGAGATACCTGCCTGAGCTCCAGGTGTGGTGGCTGCATCAAGCCAGCAGGGAGGATGAAGAGACAAAGGAAAACCACACCTTCCTCTTCTCATCAGCAGAAACTTAGCCTTGAGAGGGTCCTACCAGTGAGGAAACTGCAGTTCGATAGGTGAAGGTACAGATTTCAGTCAGGATACCCGCAGTTGAACTAGGACGTGCACCTAGTTCCCAGTGACCCCAGGTCATAGCTCTGTGCCCCTTGGATGTTATAACCTCAAGCTCATGTCACATAACTTTTTATCTCTTTCTGACTTTGCCACAGATACAGTCTTTTTCTCCCTCTACATGAACTCTGGAAACAGTACATCCGGGACCTGTGCAATGGTCTCAAGCCAGACACGTGAGTTGCATTTCTAAAGTGTTGCCCTTTGGGGCAGAACCCACATCTTAAACGATCCTTGTAAATGCAGCCTTTGGAGCTATCTGTACTGCCTGGCTGCAGAAGTTTGCAGACCTGTTTGCTGCTCTCAGAACTCTTTATCATGGTTTACATTAAGGCTATCTGTCTACCTTATAGGCAGCCACAGATGATTCAGGCCAAGCTGCTAAAGGCAGATCTTCATGGTGCTATTGTTTCAGGTAATTTGCCTAAGAGCCCATGGTCATCTAGATACTCAAGCTGTCACTCAGTGGTGGTGCAGCTCTATGTTACTGCATCACATGTGTACCTGACCCCATGGATATCCCCAGATCACCGGCACTGAGGGTGGGAGATGACTAGCTGTCTTAGCCAATTCTGGCCACTTGCTGGTTGTGTACCTTCTCCACACAGGCCTGGTATCCCAAGGGGCACAGCCGCTACTGGAACTTGCCCACAACCTGGGATCTTGAACAGAAAGTCCCTTTCATTCAGTCCCATGGTTTAAGTGTCACCTGTGGACTTAAAGCTCCCAAGTTGCTGTCTCCAGTGCAGACCTTTCCTCTGAACCCCTTCATTCATCCAACTGTCCACTGGACACAGCCGCCTGGATGTCTAGTAGGTGTTGCCAACTTTACATATCCAAAGCGGAGCTCTGGTCCTCTTCTCAAGGCAGACCTCCCCTGTTTTCCCCACTATTTATCCTGGTTCTTCGGGCCGAACACCTAAGAGGTATGCACATTTCTTTCCTGTGTCCCCACTTCCAATCCATCAGCACATTCTAACAAATCTGGGGATATCCGTGGGGTAAGGAACACGTCCAGTGTCTAAGACACCACGTCCCCTGGTTAACTGCCAAAACTGCCTGCCCTCTCCCTGTAGATACGCTTTTCCTCCTGAGCCAAGTAGCCAGAGTGAAGGTTTTATAACAAAAATTAGATCCTGTCCTTTCTGCCTCCTTACTGTGTTCTAAAAGGCCTCTCTGGCTTCCTCAGGCATCAGATCTAAACTCTGGCCTGTTTCTGCTTCTCACACACACCAAGCTTGGCCCGGCCTCAGAGCCGGTGCATTTGCTTATTCCGCAACGCAGAGTGTTCTCTTTGTTCACAGACTGATTTCTCGTTATGAGATCCTTACTCAGATACCACTTCCCCTGAACATCAACCATCACCACAGTGATCCCCGTTTCCCATTACCCTAATCTTATTTTCTTCAAAGCACTTATTACCATCAGAAAATACAATTGGTTTGTACACACGATCCCTCCTCCCATTAGGACATCAGCTTTATGAGAGCAGGACCCAGGACTATCTTGTTCTTGCACCAGTTGGGCCAGTACCAGGCACATAGCAGGTACTCAGTGAATCTCCTGACAACACTGGCACATGGGTCCTGAGAGTTGAGGGGCCACTGCCTGTGGTGACAGCTCACCTCACTCACTGCTGTATGACCTGTAGTGGAATCCTATTCTGGCTTGAGTTCGGGAGATCGTGGGAAACACCCATGATGGGTGGGTGTTCATTCAGATCCTGTGAGATTTGGCCCCATCTAAGCAACCTGAGGGTAGGCCTTGGTGGTGCTGGACACACTTGTGACTTCTTGGCTCCAGAATCCTTCCCAAGACCCCCTGTGGCCGCAGACTCTCCAAAGGATACCTTGTCAGAGTAGCCCAGGGACTACAAAACCAGAGGCAAGGGATTGGGAAGCCCAGGTTCTCATCCAGCTGGACCCCTGACCAGCTGAGGACCTTCTACCTTGCACTGCCCCTTAGGTCCTTTCACTTCTCTGCTGTCCAAGGATGGGACCAGAGCCCCATGGCCCCTGCAGCCCTGGTGGCTGTTCCTCCAGCATGACAGAGGCCTAAGCCTCTGACTGTCCTTTTTCTTTGTAGTCACAAAATCGAAATGCCCTTCTTATGTGGGTGTTACAGGAATCCTTCTACAGGAAACAAAGTATGTTTTCAAGATTATCACCAAAGAAGACCGCCTGAAAGGTAAGTAGCTGTCTCTGAAGGCATTGTGGGCTGTCAGCCCCCACCCAGCCACTTTGTCAGCCCTTTCCTCATGGCTCTAAGTGTCTCAAGTCAACACAAAATGCATTCACCTGCTGGTGCTGCATTCCAAGCCTGCAGAGACCATCCCCTGCCCCCATAGTGCTCCTCGAGGCATGCATGAACCCAGTCAGTAACCTTGGCCAGATACAAGCGAGAGAAGGAAAGCTAATAGGCTGTGCCTACAGGCACCTAACTCTTTCCAGGACTAGGACCCTTCACCTGCCCAAAGGCTACTGCCTCCCAGCTAAACAGTTAACAGGGAGACAGCTGAGGTAGCACCTGTCCCTGGAATTCCAAGATCTGTGCCCATGGTGGCGATCCTTTGGGTTCCAGGGAAGCAAGTGGAGTCCATGCACTCAACATGCTAGAGTGTATTGCTTCAGCAGAGGCGAGCATGAGCAGCCAGTCTGTCGGCATTTCCACACTCCTTGCCCACAAATCCAGAGATTTTGAAACCATAGCTGGAGGTTTTTGTTCCTTTCATTTTTGAGCTTGTATTTTCTTGCGGCTTACTTCCTTTACCCTCGATGTGCTCTCATTTTAAACTTCAGAAAGTGGTAAACACGCTCACACTAGGCACAAAGCCATGAGTCTATCTGGAAGTCATGTGGGAAGACCTGTTTCTACTAGTCTGTCTGGGAGTTTCTGGTTCTGGGAGTTTGGTTCATAGCCTTTGACCCTGGAAATTAGGTGTTGAGTTATATTTAAAATGTGAATAAATGGACCTTATGACAAAATAACTCCCTTTAATCCTGGTGCTGTTTGCTTTGTAGGTTCCCCATTTTCTATTAAGCTTGTTTTCTAATACAAACATCATAGGAATAATCCTGTGCAAAAAGCAAACTTACTGCCAGGATTGTTTTCCTCATCTATTTATTTCCTTTTTTTCAGTTATCCCCAAGCTAAACTGTGTGTTCACTGTGGAAATTGATGGCTTTATTTCCTACATTTATGGGAGCAAATTCCAGCTTCGGTCAAGTGAGCGGTCTGCAAAGAAGTTCAAAGCAAAGGGAACGATTGACCTGTGAGCTCTTGCTGCCTCCCACAGTTGTTTTAGACTCTGCCCACACTGGAGATACCCTGAATACCCACCTTTCAGTGAAGACATGGTCAAGCCAGTTCTGCTTATGAACTACTTCCAACCGGTAAAATCAGAGTTAAGGACATTAAATCATCTGGGAAGAAACACACTGTACTGAGTCAGGAAGTCAGGGAACAGAGCCATGTGTATATATAAGTGATCCTTATTGTGTATTATGCCCGTGGAGAGGAAAGGCTAGCAGAAATCACCATGCTTAAGAGGCTGACTTGACTTCTGGGATTATTAGGTTTTTATTTCTTTTTCATACTTTACTGAGTTTTCTGAATGTTCTATGGTGAATCAGTTGTTTATGTATTAATAAAATACACATGTAGGCAGAAACAGACTCCAAGTAAAGGAATGATGCCTGTGGTACAGCCAGACTGGAAGGGGAGACGAGCCCGAGGCCATGCCTGGGTTGTGTGTTCACTTGCTCAGGGGACATCTGCCATCAGGCCCGGCATTTCCCAAGTTTAATGCTGCAGCCCATCTTTGACAGATTACTTCAGTGCACACCTGCTAGTGAACTTGGACCTAAGGTTTACTTTGCTGTTTAAACAAAATTGAAGAGTAAATTGACTTCACTAAGTGACTTAGGGCTCATTTACTCCAGAACTAGAACTAGAATGGGCCACAAAGGCAAAAATGCCAGGGCTAGTTGTGCTTACTAACTGTGGACATGTGTTCCAGTGTAGGGAGCTTAAACCCACAGAGCATTCTCACTCTGGAGTCTGCTGAGCTCCAGAGGAAGGCAGACTGAAAGGAAAATGAAACTGCATCTCTTTTGAAGGCCTAAGCCAGCAAAGCCACAGTTCCAGCAGTGGCACCTTAGCTGACATCTTAGTCCCATTTTTCTGCTGAAAGGCTGGGCCCTTGGGTCTGACTGCTCCCGGGTGGCAGCATGCCAGAAGGTGTAGGCACTTGATGAGGCCCTTCTGTGCAGGGCTTTTGTAAATACTGACTGGGGCTGAGTGAGCCCGGGACAGGGACCAGCATTCCGATGTCTGCTGTTAGGAAGCCACATGGCTCAGAAGGATCCGCTGCCCATTTACTTTGAGAAGCAAGCATTTGCTGTCCAGAAAGGTGAGGGCAGAAGCGTTCCCGGCAACAAACTGGCAGCAGATTCATGTGCTTTTTCTTTCACATCAGGAGAAGCAGCAATGCTGAGGCTTTGCTTTCTGTGTTTTCCACTCGGACTCCACGCTGAAAGAGGAACACCATGGTGGGAAAGAGCAGGGTGAATAGGACTTCACAGGAGAGCAGGGAGGCCTAGCTCTGCCACTGCCTCCCCTTGGCTCAAAGTACACCCAAGGGGCGAGGACACCCACCACCCGTGTGCAGTGTCTGCTGCTCCAGAGCAGGGCTCTGCATCAGCTTGGGTGCTCTCCCGTCAAGCCATCGCTGCCTGCAGTGCAGCGCTCTAGTTCCAGCACTGCCTCGGCCAGGACATCCTGGCCCAGTGACTGAGCCCTGTTCTGTGACACTTTAGCCACCAGGAGACTTGGACTCAACGTGCTCACTTGCTCAGGGCTTCAGCACCCAAGGGGTAGAGCTGTGATTGGAACCCCATAGTCTGTGCTTTTGACTACAGGGTGCCCACAAGGATGAGAAGACACTGTTCTGAGGTATATAATGTGGCCCCTTTATTGCCTGGGTTGCCAGTGAGGAAATTGCTGTCTTTGGTGTAAAATGGCTTCTATTCTTCTAACCATCTGAAAGCCACATTGGTAACAGCATGGGTGCTGTGACTTCCTAAACCACACTGCTGTCACCACCCCTCTGCAATGTAAAGGCGGCCAACGTGTACATATACAGTTGCTTTCCAGGAAAGTTGTTGGTACCACTTGCTATGTAAAATCTGTTTTTCATTTGGCACAGACTCAAGTTTCTGTGTGAATGGCAATCTAATTTGTACACTTCTCTCTGTCTCTCTGATAGGGTGTGTGCTTTTCCTACATACATTTATAACAACAATATTATACACAGCAGTAATAGTAGTATAACTCCCTTCAGGTTCCTGGACCCTATTCCAATGTGTGTATGTGGGAGGGGGTGTTCCCACACAACTTACACCAAGCAATTCAAACACCAGCAGAGTATCCGAGAACTGAATTCTGACTATCTGCCCGGAGACAGCACCAGATTCCCCAGGTTAAGGACTCTGTCCTACAGGACGGCCCACCACCCCCACTCCAGACACAGGTTTCAAGCCCCAGGCAGTTCCCTGTGCTGACCTACCAGCTACAGATCGGAGGTACCCACAACCTCCCTGCTGGGTTCAATTAATTTGCTAGAGCGGCTCACAGAACTCAGGAAAACACTTAGGTTTACCAGTTTAATAAAGGACACCATACAGGATACAAGTTAACAGCCAGATGAAGAGAGACACAGGGCAAGGCCCCAAATAAAGGAGCCTCTGTCCTCATGGAGCTTCAGGCCTGGCTCTGTGATACAGAGGAGCATTCTGATTCCCTGAGCAGAGAAGCTCTCTGATGGAGAAGCAGGATACCAGGGAGCAGGGAGCAGTAAGCTCAGCTCAGGCTTCGTTGCATCGTCATGATTGATTATGCTATTGGCCATTGGCTGGTTCTGCCTCCAGCCCCTGCCCCTGGGTGGGGTCCAAAAGTCTCTCACTAATATGACAAATACTCACTTCACCTTTAAGACTGCAGTATTTTCGGAAACTGTGGATAAAGACCAAATATACCTGGGAAATACATAGTTGGTCATATGAACGACCAAATAAGGTATTTCTTATGATTCATAATATCACACTCCCCAAGGAGACTTGCAAGAACACTCACCTTCCACCAAGCTGCTGCCTTGCATGCCTGTTTCTGGACACCCTGTTGTCCCCAGGGGCCCCTGGGTCTTGCCCCCAAGGACCATGCCATCCTCCAAGGCAGGGAAGAGGGTGAGGAGAGCCCAGGCCAGGCAGGCCCTGGCTCCAAGTGAAGTCGTGATGAAGCTACGCTAACTGCTGCACAGAACTTGGCCTGAGGCCCCAGGGATAGAGCGGGGCTGCCACGTCCCCACAGCTGTGGTACAGGACTTGCCAGGGAGGGCAGTGTGGCACTTTGAGGCAGTCTCCCCCCACCTCCACTGCCTAGGGAGCAGCACTCCAGGGGACTTCGGGTGTGTTGACTTGAGAGACATGACTTTCTTGGGCACTGGAGAAACCTGTGCTCAGAGAGTCCTGTGGGGCAGCCGAGTGTTCCAGCACCTCAGGACAGGACTCAGGAGCCTGCGGGGCCAGCAGACATCAGTCCAGTGACCCACTATTTCCCAAAGAGCGAGCAGGCCCTGGGTCCCTTGACATTTCCCAGGGCCAGCCCTGTAGAGGACACAGCCACAGCGCAGGGCCTATGGAAGACAGACCAGAGCCACCAGGGGAAGAAAAGGACAAGGCAGCTGGAGGGAAACTGAGGGGCGGCATGGCCACCACATTAGCTCAGGCTAACGCTGCAGACGGGAAGTTCAGACCACAGGAATTTATTTTCTCACCATTGTAGAGGCTGTCTTCTTTGTAAGGACACCAGTCCTGTGGCATTGGGGCCCCACCTTTATGACTTCATTTAACTTTAAATTACCTCCACGAAGGCCCTATCTCTAAACACAGTCACATTGAAAGTTGGGTGTGTGAAACAGTAATTGGGATGGTGGGTAGGGGGACATAATTTAGTCCATAACAGCCATGGAGCTGACCCAACCAGGGCAGACTGGTTGTGCACCCCTGGAAAGGTGCCTATACCCAGCCTGGTGCCTCTCCTCACACTGGCCTGGCCTTCCCACACCCCTATACAGAGCACTTGGGCCATTAGCCAGTTCAGCCAGCCCAGCTGTTGGACCCTGAGCTCCCTTCACCGCTGGATTCCATGAGTTGCTCACACAGGAACTTTGGTTCAGCTGCTCCCTCTGTTACCAGGAGTTCTAGGGGTGCCAGGTTCCCTTTCATTTCTGCAAAGAGCTGAATTTCCTCCCTTGGCCAGGAATGGTACACAGAGGTGAGCACAGAAGGCTCCCTGGTGGAGGGAGCTCTGGATTCAGGCAGCTGTGGGATGTGAAGAGCATGATCACCCTGAGGTTTAGTCACTACAAGGTTCAGGGCAAGGGCCTGCAGAAGTCATGGAGGACCCAGAAAATCACCTGGCCATGGGGCTGAGGACCTACAGAAGGAATGGTGAGAAGGTGCCCCAGGGTTATGGCTGCCAGTCCCAACTTAGTGGGGGGGAGAGCTGAGGGCAGCTGCCAGAGAATTTCTAATGCATGGGGCAGGAGAGAATTCTGCTGACCCATTTGCCAAGTTCTGAAGTGTTTAGAGGCCTCAGTGTCACCATCTGTGAAGTAGGGCCATGAGACTAGATCAGGATTTCCTGCAGTGGGAGCCTGGAACTTCCTGCAGCAGAATCAGTAGGATGCATGTTAAAAGTAGCCAGATCCTGAGCTGCAATCAGACCCCTGGGATGGGGGCCCCAGAGGGCTTCATGTTTCTCCAAGACCCCAGGTGTCTCCTCTAGTCACTGATGTTTGAGGATCAGTGACTCCAGGTGGTATCTGAAGTCTTTTCCAGCTCTGACATCTGGACTGTGATGTAGGATTTGGGGCTCTTGGAATGGTGTTTGCTGGATGCTGGAAAAGATTGTCAAATGACTGATCTCTTAGGTTCTGAGAAGTAAACATGAAAAAAAAAACCATAAATTATGGTAAAAAGCTTTCTTTCTGGACAATGGCTTTAGTTCTAATTTAGTTTTAATTTCTTAGCTATAATGACTAATTAAGACATCTGTTAAATGTCTATAATATTAATTTAATAGAGGGGGTTCTAATAGAACTGTATTGGAATTGTCCATTTAATTAACCTCATGGGCCCTTAATGGATGTCTTAAATAGACATCATTAACAAGAGTGCTAGACAAATTAAAATTAGAGTCAATAACATTCTTGGTAATTTTTCCTGAGCTGTGAAGGACGAGCATTGCTAAGTAGACAGATACACAGAGATGGGCAGCGCAGAGGAGTGCCAGAGCTGGTGTGCCCAGCAGAGGTCCAGAATGGCAGCGCCCCACACAGGAGTCAACCATTCTGCATCCTGGTCAGCTTTGCCTGAAGAAGACACTACTCCCCAGCCACAGGAGGCAGCTCTCAGGAGCACAGACTGGCCCCTTCATATACCTTTCACAGAGGTTTGCTGGTCTGGTCCTTTACTGAGCTCCTGGATGAGGAGATGAAAGTGGAAGATGGAGAAGGAAATAGGACCACACACAGAGATTCTCACTAAAGAGAATTGCTTTACATTGCTTTTGCCCCACCACTCCACTGAATAGCTCTTGCTCAAAGAACTACATT